TCTTGACGATCATGTCGTCGACGTACGCCTCCATCGTCCGGCCAAGGACCGCTCTAAAGATCTTGGCCACCATCCTAGTATAGGTGGCGCCGGAGTTTTTGAGTCCGAAGGCCATGACGAGGTAGCAAAAGATTCCCTCTGGGGTCATGAATGCCGTCTTCTCAGCGTCATCTTCATGCATGGAGATTTGGTGGTACCCTCTGAAAGCGTCGAGGAACGACATCAACTCGCACCCTGCCGTCTCGTCCACCAGCTGGTCAATGTTGGGGAGAGGGAACGGGTCCATGGGGCATGCCTTGTTCAGGTCAGTGTAATCAACACACATTCTGAACGTCGGCGGTTTCTGTGCGAGGACGACGTTGGCCAACCATGTCGGGTACTTCACCTCTTTGATGTGTTTGATTGAGAGGAGCATGGCGACCTCCCCTTTGACGAAGTCCCGCCTGTCGGCGGACAAGTAGCGCCGCTTCTGTTTGACAAGCGCGGAGGCCGGATCGACGGTCAGCCGGTGAGTGATCACCTGGCGGCTGATGCCTGGCATATCGTCCGGGCCCCACGCGAAGACAACGGCGTATGACCGTAGGACGAGGAGGATGGCGTCTCGTTGGTTCTGGGGGAGTTGCTTTCCGACTCTGAGAACCCGCTCCGGCCGGGAGGTATCCAGAGGGATTTCCTCGACCTCCTCGGCCGGCTCAGCATGTGGCCTTTCCTCGTCCATGGCGACGGCGGCCGTGATGGTGTCTATCCTCTGGCCCTCCCTCTCGGCCGGCCTTGTCAGTTTGAGGTAGCATGCCCTGGCTATCCTCTGGTTTCCTCTGGCGTAGCCGATGCCGTCGTTGGTGGGGAACTTCAGGCACAAGTGCTTCATGGAGATGATGGCCTCCAAGTCCTCCAGCGCTGGCCGCCCCAAGATCAGGTTGTGGGCGCACTGGAGGTTGACCACCATGAACTCCATGTTAATTCTGGCGTGGTGGGGGCCGTCACCGACCTCCACGAGGAGGACTATCGTGCCCTCGGCGTCGATAGAGTCCCCGGTGAAGCCGGATAACGGGGTCTTGATCGGCTTCAGCAGAGCTCTGTCCAGCTTCAGCTACTTGAAGGTGTCCAGGTACATCACGTTGACGGAGCTCCCCGTATCGATGTAAGTACGGTGGATGATGGAGTCACCGATCTCACATCGGATGACGAGGGCGTCCCTGTGTGATTCCGTACCCGGAGGCAGATCCTTTTCGGTGAAGGTGATCGCCTCCGTTCGCTGCCTCTTTGGCTGGGGGGGGGGGGGGAACGTGGGACACCTCCCCAATGTAAAGGGATTGGGCCCATTTCTTTCTCTGAGTGGCGGAGTCCCCCCCCAGTGTTCCCACCTACGATGAGGTGGATGTGATTCTTCTTCGGCGGGGGCTCTTCGAAGTCCTCGTCGTCGCTGAGCCTACCAATCTCCCGCTTCTTCGCAGAGGGTTCGCCCCCATGTTTGCCGGTGTTTACCCAAGTGTTCTTGCGTGGGCCACCTTTGACAAACTGGGAGAGTTCCCCCTGGCGAATAAGGCGCTCGATGGCCTTCTTCAGTGTGATGCAATCGTCGGTGTTGTGTGACGAGTTCTTGTGGAACCGGCAGTACGTGCCGCCCTGCTGGATGGCAAGGATCTCCTCGGCCGGCCGAGGAGCCTGCTCGATGAGGCCGTGCTTCTCGGCATAATCGAGGATGGTGCCGACCGGGTGGGTGAGGGTTACCCCCGGCCGTTCCAACCTCGGCCGCCAGTGGCGATCTTTCTTACTTTGCCCACCAGAGCCGTGACGGCCCTGGGCACCCTGGCCGGCCGGGGACGGACCCAAAACCGGCGAAGGATTTGTCTTCTTGGAGGGATGGCCCCCCTCTCTCTTGTGATTGTGGAGCTCGTCGGCGTCGACATACAAGCCTCCGCGCTGGAGCGCCTTGGCGTACGACCTCGGGGGGTCGGTGATGAGGCTCCTGGCGTATGGGGAGCTGCGGAGGGCTCCCTGATACAAGGCGAGGAGGGTACGCTCATCGGCCCCCTCGACCTCCTCGGTTTCCCTCGTCCACCGATCAATGAATGATCGGAGGGACTCCTCGTGCTGCTGCTTGACGGAGAGGAGGTGGGTGAAATACTTCTTCGCGCGCTTCCTCCCGGCAAAGTGAGTGAGGAAGCGCTGGGCGAGATCCTGCCATGATTCGATGCTCCCTTCGGGGAGCGCGTTGAACCACTCGTACGCTGGCCCCTCGAGAGTAGAGAGGAACCAACGGCAGAGGTATTCGTCGGACGCGTTCACCATCAGCATGTTGTTCTGGTAACGGCTGAAGTGTTCCTGGGGGTCTGATCGGCCGTCGTAGGACTTGATGGCGTTCCCCCTGTACTTCTCCGGGATGGGGGCCGAGAGGACCCTGTTGGTGAAAAGGGTCCTGGTCCTGACCTGGATGATGGGGTCACCTCGCCCCTCGGCCAGCTCTCTCTCCAGGGCGCTAACCTTGTTCATGAGCGCGTTGAGGCCGGGGTCGTTGGAGGCACCGGCCGTAGGGACGTTGGCCGACTGCTTGGCCTCCATCTGAGCCAGCCTCCTTTCCAGCTGGGCGATGACCTCGTCCCGGGGGTCCCTGGCGGCCGCAGCGGCGCCCGGCTGGTTCCTCATGCGCTCGTTATGAGCCGCGTTGATCTGGTGGTGCACGTCATCCTCGTGCAACTTTCCCTTGCCCTTGTCCGGGCGGGGCTGGTCCGCTGTCCGGGACACAGACCCCAAGCTTTCCCTCGGCGAGCCAGGACGAGGCTCACCAATCCGTCCCGCCATCCTCTCCGAAACCGGACGACGGCGCGTGTCACCTAGCCTATTGAAGGCAGAGGCTTTTCCACGCGCTGGGGTCTGCCCAGGCCGAAGAGGGGAAGCAGGGTGGGAGTGGGACGACGTCGTGTCCTGGGGCACCACCCCCTCATCGTTGCCTATCTGGACGGCCAACGGTTGGGGCTGAGGAGGTTGAGTGACGTTCCCCCCGGTCCTTGGCAAGAATGCGCTGAGGACGGTGGGGTTCATAGCCAGGCTGGCGATGATGACCGACAGCGCGGCCTGGACCTGCGGATCCACGGACGGAGAGGCCGCGGCCATAGGCTGGGCCGGGGCGTGGTCCGTCTTCTCAGCTCGTTTCTTGTCCAAGCCGAGGCGGGCGTCGGGGACTCCGCCGTTGAGTTGGTTGCGGAGGTCCGTCGTGAGGTTGAAGGCCTCCTGGAAGAGGTCCCCTCCGCCGGCCTGGTCGGCCGTGGCGTCCTCATCGTGCTCCCTGGGCTCTTGGTCCTCAGGGATGACTTTGCTGACGAGGTTGCGGTTTGACTTAGTTCTCCCCATGATCAGTGGTTAGCTGTGCTTGGTAGCGACGAAGGGTGCTAACTTGATTGTTCTAGCTCTCAACGAGAGCACCAAATGATAGAGTATATCTCTAGAGAGAAGTGAGAGCTAGAGAGAGAAGTGCAATAATATGCTTCAATAGAATGATTTTGTAACCCCTATAACTACTCCCAAGGGGAGTATTTATAGAGAAAATACGGGCTGGGCTCCCAAACCTTGGGCTTGGGAGGCCCATTTACAACTGGACCGCTACTGGGCCGAATACAAAGCCACTAATGGGCTGTACAAATGAATAAGTATAAAATCCGGTTCTGTGAGGTCTTCGGGGCCGACGAGGGCGTGACCGACGAGGGCACGGCCGACGAGGGCATCCGGATTCCTTGGGCTCAGGACCATAATCTGAGTTGGCCCCTTTTCGGCCGACAGGAGCGTCTTGGCCGACGAGGGCGCCACTCTGTGTCTTGTGCTTTCTGTTCTTCCGAGTATGTGGGTCCGGGGGCTCAGACCCATATACTCCATCACCTTCTTTTCACCTTTCCTCCTAATGAATGCCATTTGCTTGTACTCCCTATCATTATCACAAAATATGCGAGTTTGATAGGTAGCAGACTGGTTAGTTATGTTATCCACAGCCACAAAAGTTATGAAACAAGCGTAATTAAAATTGTAACACTTATTAGCCTTCTCAATCTTCACAAGTTGAAGCTGGGAAATTGGTTGTCTGACTTTAGAGATTTTTTACTATCTCATTATCTATACTAGTATTACACCGGTGCGTTGCATGGAGGAATATTTTGTACAAATGTAACACACAAAGTTTTCATATGACACAAACAAACAATATTCTCAAATAAAAATAAAAGAATTTAAAATATAATCATAGTATAATTCTATTAGTATGCACGCAAAAATAGCGAACAAGAGTAGGAAAAAATGTCATGGCAATAAAAGAAGATCTCATTGTCACACGTAATAAAATGTTATAACAACAGTTAAGTATGTATACAAATCATACATTCTGGAATACTTCTTTATATACGACATTTGTAGTCTTGTTTGTGCTTCATATTACTGTCTATGACAAAAAAATGGTTTCTTTAACAATAAACCAACATGTGAAAAGAGATTGTCCTTGATTTTTATTTATAGTCATAGCATAAGCAACAATGATCGAAAAAAAAATCTCAAAGTCTCTGAGATCTTAAGTAATTTTAGTTGGTACATTTAATTGTAGTTCAAATTTAATAAACAAAGGCCTTTTGTTTAGTTTAATTTTTGGTCATTTGAATTTAGTTGTTAATTAATGTGTAATTTGGATTTTTCTCCACTATTGTCAAAAACGTCAATTTTTATACATATAAAATACATTGCATATTTGTACTTTGCGAGTAGGCTTCGATTTAGTCCTTCTACTCTTTGTACCGTCTTTTTTCTCAATAAAAAATAGTTGAGGTATTTTGTGGCCCTCACCCCAAAACTCTCAGGTTTTAGACTACCACCGGGTAAAAACATTAAATACCTTGTTTTTTTTTGTTTTTTAATTAAAATAGGATACTCCGTATTACAAATTGTTAATGGTCCCTAATTAACCGACCTAATGCACGATATACGGACTATAATTGAAGCAATATTTCTGTGTCTCTCATTGCACCGGTTCATCTTTGGCTGCCACTCTCTCTACATTCAAACTCTCTCTCGAGATTCAGCGTTTCTGTTCCTGTGTCGGTTGATTATCTCTCTATTCAATCTATCTTGATTCAATCCCGTTTAGAACTACAATTCAATCGAGTAAGTTGTTAATACTCCTAAAATTCTTTTAATATTTTGTTAAATTCATCTGAAGCCATGAATTTGTCATATGAAAGCAGTAGATTTTCGGTATAAATCATCTGTTACTTATTTCATACATATCGTTATTCGAACTGAATTCATGTATCTTTTTTCCTTGATTTGTAAGGACTGTCTTCACACACCGAAAACCAACGAAGAAACGGCTTTGCCATAGCTCTGATATGTTGGAAATTTTAATAGTATTTCAAATGAATATAAATTTACTTGTTTCAATTAATTTTTCCACTTTAAGTACATAGTTTTTCTATTCTTTTTAAAATCATTTTAATTAAATAAATTTTGCAACTAGAGCTTTGTACGTTACTTTTCAATAGTGTGAGTATTAAACCCAAAAGGCATTTGCTATTGTAACGGTTGTTTTACCGTTAGGCTTTTGTTGTTATTATTAAAGTATATTTATAACAAATTGCAAAAAAAAAGTATATTTATAACATTCCAAGCTCCAACGTTCATTCCTTTGCTGGCATGCGGCGTGTATAAATTCATGTTTGCATGGAGCTGGGAAAAAGTAGAGTGTTCGAAGAGCTACTTGAGACATAATTTTGGAGTTAAACATCCTCTATTATTTTCACTCTGTTGGATTAATTTTATTTTACTCTAGTTGTTCTGTTACCGGCTTACGCCGAAGAGCTCGTTTTATCTTGGGGAAAGATTTTCGCTAATCGGAAATACTTTCTTGAGGACAACGTTTGACGCGTCTCAAGCTATTATTATTTTTCTCACACTTTTTGCAGGTTTATCCGGCCAATTCCTCCAACACGATAGACCATATATAGCCGTCACCGACTGGGTTGGTTTCATCGTCCGACCACGTTCCCTCGTATAGGTATCCGGCCATCCTTTTGTTATGATGTAATTATTAGTAAATAATTATTTACTTTGTTTAACCTTTGTTGTTTCATCATTATTATCAAATGCCATTTGTAGGTGTCTTGCTTCTAATTACCATCTTAATAGAGCTCAAGGACGAAGCAACAAATAAGTAATTACCAATTATGATTGCCTGATTGGGATTCTTTTGTCATACTATCTGTTTAAAAATCAGAAAATTACATTTTAAAATAACGTGAAATGTTTCATCAAAACAGTTTTATTCCGTCTTTCTCACAGTTTTAAAACAGTTATGAAAATACATATGTAGTATTTTTTTGAAAAATGTAGGGGATGGAACCTGTCTTCTGCCATATACAATCTATTATGTAAAACATTCATATTCTGCTACTCTATTTTGAGTATTTTCTTTCTCAAAAGATTTTTGAAAAATTAAATCTAAAAAAACCTTTCTAGTGATTCTTGATTCTACAATAGCATTCTTCCATGAAAACACATAGTACCCATTAATATATTTTAGTTATATCATATCTATCACTATCATTAATGCACATCGGCCGCATGTTTAAATTTTTACCTTGTTTCCTCAACAATCTTGAAAACCTTTCTGAATTTTGTCTACTATATTTTACGAAAATGACCTCAAACCAAGATTCAATCTGAACTTTTAGAATCTTCTTGTGATTGGGTTTTACTAAATATGCTTCGGTTTTACCTGCATATTTAGCTAAATATGCTTTGGTTTTACCAATAGATTTAGCTACATATACTTCGGTTTTAATATCAACATATATTGTGTGAAAAAAGGCAATAAAGATTTAATCAAGAGATTTAGCTAAATATTGTATTTAATCAATTATGACAATCAGGACTCACTGATAAATAGTTATCAACGATTCAATCAAAATTGATTCACTGTCCATTGAAACACTGCACATGATTTTTTGGCTAAAATTTAATTATTTAAATTTCTAATGATTTTTCAAAAAGAAAAAATAACTAATTTTTCTACAAAACTATTAACCTAAAGAATACAATACCTGGATCTAAAATCTCTCAACTCCTCAGAATCACCATTCAAAATCATCTTGGTAACATCATGTACGTTAGACGAGTACAGTCTCTGCATTTACATTGGTTTCATTCATTAATTTGCTAACCCTTATTATTTGTGAATAAACTGTAGGATGATTTATCTTGATGGTTGTTAAATGTGAAATGAGATTGTTGCAAAAATCACATTATATTGGATATTATATTTTTTCTCAATAAAAAACTGGAATTAAAAAAAATATCAACACAATACTAACCTAGGTATTTGTGTCCTTTGCAACGTTGTAACAAAACAATTGTAGAATAATCCTGATGAGAGAATTCCTTGTATTCATATAGCATGTCGCCCCTAAGTGCACTAATACAAACTCGTACTATTGATCATATCTATTAGTACATATATTCACAAACTTGTACTATTGCCTTTAAACATACTTACATAGCATCATTAAGAACTAATTCCAAGTCCGAATGGAAGAAAACAACCAAACGAATCAGACAAAATAAAGATCTGGATGAGCTGACCATCCACAATCTTTATGATTGTCTAGGAGAATTCTCTGAGGATATTCGTGAAAAGGCCAATTCTTCAAAGGGAAAGAACGTTGTTGACACACTTGCCCTCCTCTCATGTGAGAAGAAGAAGAAGAAAAAAGCTCCTAAAATTACCTTTGAAGATGACTCATCCGATGAAGAGAAGAACATGTTTGATTCTGACCCTGAGATTAATGAGCTGAAAAAAGAGCTGGCTCTGCTGGCCAACAAGACGAGGAAAATAAACAAGAAGTTCACTAAGTTCAGAAATCCTGTTACAAACAACAAAAAAAGAACTTCTTCCTCAAATTATTCTGAAAGAGTCGGCAGACAATCAGATAAGGCAGTCATCAGTGACCCAATGAAGTGTTTTAAATGTGGAAAGCCTGGACACTTTGCTAAAGAGTGCCAATCTGCCAAGAAGAAGGACTTCAACTACTATATGCAGAAGGCACATCTCGCTAAACAAAAGGAGCAAGGGGTTGTCCTAATGGCTGAACATGATAGCTGGCTCGAAGATTCTGAAGATAGTGAGCCTGAGAATTTGGCTCTGATGGCAAGGATAACTGAATATGGAAGCGAAAGTGATGACTCTGAAGAAGAAGACAATGCTCCTACATCTGCTGAAAATGAGGTAAGTAACCTAAACTCTTTAATCTCTCAACAAAACATCAAAATGAAAGAGTTACTCACTTCTCTAAAAAGAGAGAAAACCAAGATAAAGGAACTTGAAGACAGACTTGTTAATAATCAAACAGTTCTGGAAAAACAAGTGTTAGAAGGAGCCTTTGAAACAGCACGCTTAAAAGACTCATGTGAAAAGGTTTCTAAGTTAGAGTCAGAAGTAACTAAGCTTAAGCAAACTGTTAGTGACTTAACTAAGGAACGTGATGAGAATAAACGACAACGTTCTGAAGCTATTATTCAATATGATCTAATTAACAAAGAACGAGATCAACTTTACTCTAAGATAATGGAGTTAGAGAACATCTTAGCCAGAAAGGTCAAACCGAACAGACAATTCATCTTTTGAATAGCAAAATCAAGGATACTCAGTTTTACAACCCTAGAGAAGGATTTGGCTTTCAAAACCCTGAAAATTTGAAGAAAGTCGATTGCATTCAGCTTTACGACATAAGATATATGAACCTAGGGTTGAGTAAACTTATGAAATTCACTTATGCTTCTGAAACCATTGAAGAAGAAGATGAGAAAAGGAAAAATCGGACTAAAGCTGAAATTAGTTTTGATTATACTGCTCTCAATGACAGTTATGCCACTAGAGATATTCCTTTGTCAAATGACTATCTTACCCATTCTCCTCTTGAGAATCAAAACGTGTCCAGTGAGGAAGAAGCCTCAACCTCAAAAGTTTCAAAACCCTGCGTTCTTCCTCTCATTAAGAAAATAGCTGACATTCACTCATCTTTTGAAGAGGAACGTGAAAAGTTTAAACTTGAAAAAGAAAATCTTTTAAAGAAAAATTCTGAATTGTCTTACGAATCCTCTCAAGGCTCAAAATCTCCTGAGACTTCTTTTTCTAATGAGCATAAAAAGAAAAATCATTTTGAAAAGAAAAGAAACTTATCTTCTGCTCTACATACATGAAAAGCTTTTTCTAAATCCACTGCAGGAAGGATGACATGGACTCCGAAGAAGCCTTCAAGCAAGGATACAAGACCTGAGCAGACGAAGAAGATTTCTAAAATCTTTAATTTTGTGGAAAAGGTCTTGTAATAGATTTAGAAATTGTTTTCGTTCTAGTTCTTCTGCTACTTCCTCTAGTTCTGTTTCTGACTATTCTCTTAAGCTTTCTACTTCTCACTCCAGTTCTATGAATTCTTATTCAAGTGATTGTTTTAAGGGTGATCAATTAAATTCTTCTCCTTTTTTCAAACATGATGTGTGCCATGTGAATGTTAATAATGATTGTGTTACTTTCTCTTCATGTAATGGTGTATGTCTGAATTATCCTCTCAAGGTATATTCTGTCAAACATCTCAAAAGATTAGAAAGAGAAAGTTTTCATAAACTCTGAAGCATCACACTCACGATTCCAAGACCATTCAAACAAATTTCATAAGGTCAAGCAAGTTTGGGTTCCTAAAAGTGATCTAGTCAAAACTGATTCAATTCTTTCTTCACATAAAAAGTATGGGTCCGTCCTTAAATGGATACCTAAGGCTGCTTAATTTTGCAGGTTAGTCATGTATGGTACTTAGATTCAGGTTGCTCCACACACATGACTGGGAAGAAAGAGCTATTGAGCAACTACGTTGACAAATTTGGTGGGAAAGTAAGATTTGGAAACAGTGACTCTGCTCCTATCCTTGGGTTCGGAGATATCTGCAATAGCAGGATCACAATCAAAGACGTTTCTTATGTTGCTGGGTTGATGCACAACTTGTTTAGCATCGGTCAATTCTGTGACAAGGGCATGAAAGTCATATTCCGAGCTAATAAGTGTTGCGTAAAGAATGATCAAGGGAACACCATTTTGAGGTGTAGACGCAAATCCAGCCTCTACACCATTGTGCTGAAAACTGTGTTTCCCAATACCGATATCTGCCTGCTGTCAAGAGCGTCCTCTGAACTAAATCAACTGTGGCATAAGAGAATGTGTCATCTGAACTACCGAGATCTGCATACATTGTCATCAAAGAAGCTTGTTACTGGTCTGTCAGCACTGCAAAGCAAATGTGATCATTTGTGCGATTCTTGCACACTTGGGAAAATGAAAAGAGATTCTCACAAGACGAAAGTGACTGCATCTATTACACATCCTCTTGAACTGCTTCACGTGGATCTTTGTGGGCCCATGCGTACACAAAGTATCAATGGGAAGAAATATGTCCTAGTGATAGTAAATGACTACTCAAAATATACATGGATCCTGTTCTTACGCTCAAAAGACAAGACAACAGACATCATCATCACCTTCATCCGTACTACACAGAATCTACTGCAGGCAACCACTCTTTTCATTCGATCTAACAATGGCACTGAGTTCAAAAACCAGAAACTCGGTGAATTCTATGAGACTCAAGGCATCATTCAACAATCTCTGCAGCAAAGACCCCACAGCAGAATGGGGTGGTTGAAAGAAAGAACAGAATTCTTGTTGAAGCTGCAAGAACAATGCTGATCCATTCCAAACTTCCACATTTTCTCTGGGCTGAAGCTATTAACACTGCTTGCTTAACTCAGAACAGGACCTCAATTCAAAAAAGGTTTGGAAAGACACCGTATGAGCTGATCAACCGTCGAACTCCCAGTGTTTCTTTTCTAAGGGTCTTTGGATGCAAGTGCTTTGTTGCTAATGATAGGGAAGATCGAAGCAAGTTTGACCCCAAAGCTATTGAAAGCGTGTTTATTGGCTACTCCTCTTCGTCTAAAGCTTACCGAGTTTACATCAGAGACATAAAGAAGGTCATTGAAAGCATCAATGTGACCTTTGATGAGAAGGAAGAACAGGCTTCTGGACATATTAGTTCAGAACCCGATGTCAGCGGTGTTCTAGCACAACTACCCGCCTCATCTCCCTCACCTGATTCCAACACTGTGGATCTCGATCATCTTTTTGACCAAATATACGAGAATCCACAACCACATGATCCATCTCCTCCACCCATTACTGCTTCTACAGCAATAACATCTACTTCAACATCGACTCCATCATCTTCTGCAACCACAGCTGAGACTGAAATCACTACTGAAGCTTCAACGCTTCCATCCATTGATCCTACATCTTCATCTGTTCCTCATGCTGACAATCCTTATGTTGATCAGCAACCTAACAATAATGCTCAGCCACTCCCTCATGTCAGAAAATGGACACGTGCTCATCCACTTGATCTTATACTTTGAAATCCTTCAAGTGGAGTGTGCACACGATCTGCTACCGAGAATGAATGTCTGTTTTCATGCTTCCTAAGTCAAACTGTGCCTACTCATGTCACTGAAGCATTAGCTGATCCTGATTGGATAATCGCCATGCAAGAAGAAATCAATCAGTTTGAGAGACTGAAAGTCTGGTCATTTGTGCCTCGTCCCCCTAGAAAATCAATCGTAGGCACTAAATGGATCTTCAAGAATAAGAAAGATGAAGACGGGATCATGATTCGCAATAAGGCCCGTTTGGTTGTGAAAGGTTATAATTAACAAGAAGGCATCGACTACAATGAGACGTTCACACCAGTTGCACGCATTGAAGCCATTCGACTGTTCGTGGCTTATGTTGCACACAAGAACTTCACCATTTATCAAATGGACGTGAAAACATCATTCTTGAATGGGATCTTGAAAGAAAAAGTTTATGTGGATCAACCAGAAGGCTTCATCAGTGAGAAATATCCAGATCACGTTTATCGTTTGATTAAAGCTTTGTATGGACTCAAACAAGCCCTGAGAGCTTGGTATGAGGAATTATCTGATTTCCTGGTTGATTCTGGCTTCTCAAAAGGAACGATTGATACTACTCTCTTTATTAAGCATCATGGGTCTGACATCATCTTGGTTCAGATCTACGTTGACGACATCATTTTTGGTTCTACTAATTCGGCCCTCTGCACTGCGTTTGGAAGTCTGATGCAATCTAAGTTCGAAATGAGCATGATGGGTGAAATGAATTTCTTTCTTGGACTGCAAGTTAAACAATTGCCTGACGGAATTTTCATTCATCAGTCCAAGTACATTCATGATTTCCTGAAGAAATACGGTCAAGAGAACACCACCCCTATGAAAACCCCGATGACTCCTACCTGCAAGCTTGATACTGATCCATCCGGAAAGCCTGTGAATGTTACCACTTTTAGGACCTCGAGCCGACCTGATATTATGTTTGTTACTTGTCTCTGTGCTCACTTTCAAGCAAATCCAAAGGAATCCCATCTGCTGGCTGTGAAACGAATTCTCCGCTATCTGAAAGAAACTCCCAATCTAGGACTCTTGTATTCTAAGGAGATTGCATTTGATCTGATTGCGTTTACTGACGCGGATTTCGCTGGATGTAAAATGGATAGAAAGAGTACTTCTGGTAGTGCTCAATTTCTTGGAGAAAAGCTGCTCTCTTGGTCCTCAAAGAAGCAAAATTGTGTGTCTACATCTACAACGGAGGCTGAATATGTCCCTGCTGCTAGCTGTTGTTCACAAGTATTATGGATGAGGACTCAACTGCGTGACTTTGGATTCTATTTTGACCACATTCCGATTTAGAGTGACTCAAAAAGTTTGATTGATATCTCTTGCAACCCAGTTCATCATTTTCGCACTAAGCACATTGACCTGAGATTCCACTTCATCAAAGATCATATTGAAAACGGTCATGTGGACCAATACTTTGTGTGCACTGAGCTTCAACTAGCTGATCTATTCACAAAAGCTCTGGACGAGAAAAGATTTCAGTTCCTGGTCTCTAAACTGGGAATGCTGAATTTGGAATTTTAATACCGTGCACAATTATAGGGGGAGTTTTATTTTATTTTTATTTTTTTGTTTTGTTTGTCAGATTTTATTTTTATTGAGCCAAGTTTCATGGTCTGTCAGTCTATTTCCCTAAAATGTGCAAATATTGAGGGGAGCAAAATTTTGTCTGGTCTGAGTGCTACAATTGAGGGGGAGTAATTTTAATTTCTCTTAGTATCCCTAATTTTTTAAAAATTAGAAAATCACAAAAATATTTTTCTCTTTTAATTTGAGTCAGTTTAGGATTTTTAGTCTGTTCAATTTTGTCTGTTTCCAAATTCAGAAAAAGCCCAAAAAAATCCCTTTTCTTTTCGCGGGTACTTAAGAAAGAAACGGTCAGAATTTCTTCATCTTCTCCCTTATACTTTCATACTCTCTCCAAATCGTAGTCAGAGTTAAAAAAATTCAAAGTTCATCTTCATCAATCTTCTTCTTCGGTCATCATCTCAAAAGTGTACTCAGAGGTTTAATTTCATTCTTTGATGATTTCCATGTGTGTGTGAGTATGTTATTGTTGCAGGTACTCACAAAATGATGCTGAGGACCGGACAACCACCGGAGAACACCTTTCACCGTCGTTCACCTTTCTCCAACACCAACCAATTAAGCTTTGTCACAAACGGCCATCAAAAACCACTCACATGAGGGAAACCATAGCTTAATACCTTCAAACCGCCATAGCCGAAATCATCATCATCACAATCTCGGAAACCACTTTACAGCCGAATTCCTAGCCCCGAGATATTCCCCCATCCGAAATCCTAAAAGATGATCGGGCTCCCGAAATCCCTTACCTCAGAAACCAGAATCTGAAATCCTTGAGCCCATAACCTGAAAACCCATTAACCGAAATCTTTCTCTTCAAAGCCCTTCCGAAATCCCTCTATCCGAAATCATACAAAAGGGCTACCGAGATCCTTCACCCGAAGTCCTCAACCAAAAACCCTTCACCCGAGATCTTCAAAGTACTTCACACCCGAGTTCCTTAAAGCCCAATAACCATACACTTAGCCCATTTAGCCCAATAACCCACAAAGCCCAAATCAATCAAGCATAATTATCCTAAACCAAGTCCATTTACCCAAAACCAAGCCCAAACCCAATATTTTTGATCACAAATGTTTATCTGTGCAATTCAGGCAATGGCTTTCATAACAGAGGAGGAAGTGTATCCAAAGGAGAGTTGGATTGATATTAAAGACAACAATCATGTGCTGGATCCCGCCATTTTCAAATGCCAAGACAAAGTGATGATTTCCATACTCAAAGGACATTCATTATGGCCAACACTCACTCTTTCAGTCAAAGCTCCAAAAATCTATCTCCGATAACTCTGGGGAACAATGCACACCACCAATGACCCCATTCCTACTCTCGAAGCCACAATAGCCAACTCCACTGTCCAAATCACCCAAAATACC